TGAATTTGTTTTATGAATCACTATCCATTAGAGAATCAATGGTACTCAATGATGAAGATATAATTAGAGAGGTTAACGGGTTCTACCTGACTCTAATTATGAATTATTTATGGAGGATTTATCTATATGAATGACTATATCAAATGGACATTTCACAGTTTAGAAGTAATTAATGTCTATAATTTTGAGAGTTCAATTCCAAGTTTATAGTGGAGTAACTATTGGAATTAATAGAATTAATTAATTAAAGTGTTTAATTAATTATTAATTTTATTGGAGCTCGAAATTATAAGTCCATTAGTTCATGCGTCGTCCTTGTAATTCTACCAGACACAAAGGGCAAAATGGAAATTTTAGAATTATGGAATTCAAAAATTAAATACTCAAAAATAATTAATTGAGAATTAATTATTATTTAAATAATGTGATTATTTAAATTTGAATTTGAATCATGAACATAATTTAAATTTATCCCTTTTAAACTTATTTGATAAGTTGTTCAATTTAGAATTCAAATTAATTTAAGTTTGACTTAAATTCGAATTTGAATTTAAATTAAAATTGGACTACATGATAAATGATGATTTTCTCTTCCTTCCCTATCTGAATTGGCGCCACACACAGGGATAAGAAACCCTACACTTGGCCGGCCACATTAGGGATAAGGGAGAGGAGATTTTTTGTTCAAAATTCAAATAGGAGATAGAGATTTGATTCCTTCTAGAAGTTTGACTTCTACTCTATAAATAAGATATGATAAAAAATTACGCGTGACAATTTTTTAACATAATTCTTAAGGGGGCTGGCCGAATTCCCAAACATAGAGAGAAGGAAAAATTTTTCTCCCAAAAAATTCCACATTGTGCATGCGTTGGTGTTTGTGAAAATTCGAGTGTTTGTTCCAAGCCGATTTTGTCTTAAGTGTGCCTATACACACGTCTACGTAGATTTAAGAAATTGACGTGGAAGACTTTGGTTTTCTAAACACAAGGCTTTGGAGCAAAGATAGTTCGAGGTCAAAGAACTCAAGTTATCAACCGAGTCGGCCTTCAGGTATTTTTCCTAATTGAGTTCTTAATATATAAATTAATATGATTAATTTATTCGTGCATAAATTAATATAATCTATAGAGTATCTCAAAAGTTTTATAAAAATTTTTGTTATACTTGATCCGTCCTACCGCCACGATTCCGCATCCGAATTCGATTCGGTAACCAACAATTGGTATCAGAGCGGTCTAAAGACAATATTAATTTATGCTTCGATTATTTGATAATCAAAATTAATATATTAAATATGTGATATTTAATTATGTATGTCTGTGATGGGTAGGCATATGCATTTATAGATGTTTATTTTAATTCATGTTGATGAATGTATATATGGTGAATTTGGTCGTTAATTATATGATTCTATGGATCGGTTATATTCATTCATTATAAATTAATTGTAATTTAATTCGGGATTAGAATTATTGTAATTCTAGGATTTGGGTAGAATTAGAGTTTTGATTTTGAATCAAAAAGTGGTCTGGAAGATCAAGTTTGAAGCCTTTGAATCAGCCCCAAATCTGCCCAGAAAATTCCCAAGAATCACCCAAGAAGCAAGGCCAGCGCGCGGCCCAGCGCACGCCCAGAGCGCGCGCAGCGCACGGCCAGTGCCCAATGCGCATAGTGCGCGCGCGGCTGGCGGCCCAGATCCGATAATTGGACCCCGAACGGGCCCGAGGGTTTCTGAAACCCTCGTAATGCGTGCCGATGTACCCAGAAGAGTTTCGGACCCCAAAGAAGGTGAAATATGCCCCGAAGACAAAGAATGAAGCCGAAGAATAAAGAATTCAAGAATCAAAAACCCGTTGATGTAACGGAAGAAAATAATTATTATAATTATTTATTTATAAAATGTTCATCGAGCACTAAGGAGGGACTTGTCAAGGTCTTTTAGAGCTAGAGAAATGACTAACTTTTTGTGCTTATAATGATGCTAAGAGAGAACATTCGTATTAATCCATTCATAAAGCTATAGATAAAAATTTATTTGGACATTAACAACAATTCAATCCTTAAATTTTCTATGTTTGTTCTAATTAATTATTTCAGTACTTAATTTATTGCGTCATCAATCTTTCTGCTTAGAAAACAGAGGTTTTATCAATTATTATTACGAACATGTATTTTCAATTTTGTTAAGTCAGAGGAAAAATCTAAATATATGATAAATATATTAATGCAAAAGTTATAAACCTTCTTTTATTTGAACAATAGATTATTGAATCAAATGTACAATTTATAATTAAAGCAAATTAGATGAAGTTGTGAAACATTTCAAACTGTCCCAATTAAGAGAATACCTTAGGTTAGTGAAAAAATGATAAGCATCTAAGAATACGCTTGTCTCTAAATTTTCTACCAAATAATATGACGATGAAATTAAGGTCAATACATTATTTTCTAAGAGTCTTCATATTATTAACGTGATAAGATCTCTGAATTCGTATTAAAAATGTTCAACCCAAATGACAAGTCATGAATTATGAGATGTAAAACTATTTTAAATTGACCCGAATAAGAAAATATGTTGCGGATCAACACAATATTTCAAAAGGAGAAACTTAAAAGAATGGCGCAGTAGAAAGCTAGAAATCATGGCTAAAGGGGGAAAACATCAAAATAGAATAGAAAACAAGTATAATAGCAATATCTCCATATTCAATCCTCATTACAATAGCTAATAAGGGTAGTTATAACCCACTCACAAGACGACAATAAAATAACCACTAAAATTGTATGACACACTAAACAAATGACAAAACGCAAAGTTAAATTGACAAACTAAGACAAATGACAATGCAAACTGCAAATATATATATATATATATATATTCATGTGACTAAATTTTTCTACACAAAGTATAATTGAGATGATAATATTGAACACATTGTTGGTCAAATGAATAGGGGACCTACAAAGACAATTTTTTCTGATTGATTCATGATTGCTTTTTCAGTTAAATCATATGGACAAATTCATCAGTTGTCACTCTTGAAAGAAGTTTCTCATGAAATTTCACCATAGAGAGCAATCGTTAGATGTCTTGCTGTAAGAGGACTTCAAAACTAGTTTTGCCGTGAGAGCAACAATTTTTAGTGAATATAAGGTACCAGAATTGTAATTATCTACAAAAAATGATATTATTTTTCATGACTAAAAAGACTTTTACTCTTTTTTCCCTGCATGTGATACTTATCCGTAAAAATATTTTTGAAATTTCCATATTTTTTGTTTTGTCCTTGAGAATGTTTCTTCTTTCTTATCTTCAACACGGCTCCTTAGTAGACAAATTATTAAAGACTGTTGCAAAATCAGTAACACCCTTAAATTGTTGTCGTTTGTAATATTTATAGTCGTTCTCTAGAATTATCCACTATGGTCATAAAATAAACCACAATTGCATCCTCCTTGCTATTTCACGCCCAGTTTTGTTTTGTAATTTTTGTTTTATTCAACAAGTTATAAAACAAAAATTATAATTTTTGTCCACAAATTTTACAAAATTTCAATTTGATCCCTATTTTGAAACTTTTTGAAGTAATTAGGCTCCTATCCCAATAACACAAAAACCAAACTATGACTAGTTCTAAATAGGGTAGTCTAGAAACTGAAAAATAAAAACAAAAAAGAAAATTACACATCTTTCTATTCGATTATTCGTTTGTGCCTCACATAATTATTCACTGTTTATCATTTAATAATACATCATTCGTACAAAATATTTTCTACATAAGGAAAAGACTACATATTTAACGAGAGGATGCTACACTTTTTCTTTTCTTTTTTAAATAAATAATTATTCTTCGTTTTATTGACAATAGTTAGCGAATTTTGTCACATATAGAGCGGGTGGTCTAACGAAGTTAACATTTGGAAAATGTGAAGCACCTTTTTAATTTTTATACTTCAATTTGGTTGTTTGATGTCCCCTTTTAGAAGTACTAATTACAAAATGAAATTAATTAGTTGTGAAATTTCTATACTGAACATGAATAACATCCACTAATCCATTTTGTTTTTCTTTTCTTCATTATGTCAATGCGGATTCGGTCAATAAATCATGGACCACCTGATTACTGACAGTTGGAAATTAGAGCAAATGTAGCTCTCCATTGCATAGGAAGTGGGCAAATTCAGAAGAAGAAAAAAAACAATGTCTAACCCATAGAATAAGTTGCACTGATTTCTAGTAGTACAAGTTGTAAACACAGTAGACCCGAACTTTTTTTCTCACGACTTGTTTTCATTATATATATATATATATGGACTTTTTTCGTCCTTCCGGTAGGAGGTCCTCCAAGGTAACACTAGTTACGAAAATGTAACATGATAATTATTAAAAGTAACATCAACGTTCATCTAAAAATTATGTTACTTCTCTCCAACGTCGATATTATGTTCAATAATTGTCATGTTACTTTTTCATAACTTTGAAGGCAAAAATCAGAAACCTAAAACCCAAAATATTCAAACTAAAAATTAGACCCAAAAATCCAAATGTTCAAACTAAAAATCGCGAGGTTAGAGAGGCTTACCTCTTGATCTGATGACGAGAGACGGGCAGTCGGAGGAGGAGAAGGGAGACCAGCAACGGAGAGAGTAATCGGGCGGAGGAGAAACCAAACGAGCTCCGAACCGCCAACGGAGAGATCAACCGGCGAACGGAGAGAGAGGCCGGTGAATGGAGCCAGGGAACCTTGCTTCGAATGGCGAGGAGAGGAGAGGAACACAGAAAAAATTTTCGCAGAGGAGATGCGGAGAGATACGAGTGGAGGAGAGAGTGGAGGAGAGTGGATTCTTCTGAAATGAAAATTGATTGTAAATTTCATAATTCAGTGGGGGTAAAATTAGAAATAAAAAATTTCATTAAACACTCAAAATAGATTCCCGCATAAGCTGAAATCAGAATCAGCCTAAAGGCTGATTCTGCTTTTAGCTTCAGATTGGGGGAAAATTCTTTAAAAATCTGTTTTACCAAACAAGCTTTTAGATTTTAGATTCCCGCATAAGTGCTTTTTCTCTCCTAAAAGCAATACCAAACCCACCCATTGTGCACTTGCGATTGACCCACAACACTTCCCAACATTGTTGTTGTCCAGATTGACTTTGATTTGCTTGCAGAGAGGAAATTTCAACAAATTCTCCATTTCTTCGATGATATTATAGAGAGGTGTTTTTGGGCGGCTGATGTATAGGTTTTCTTTGAGTTTGAAGTTGTTTTTGTTTCAATATTTATTTCATTAAATCTTATTTGAAGGGTAATTTAGGTATTTTAAGGTCAAAAATTAGGTGTTGACTGAGAAGAGGTATATATTTGTCTATTAATTACAATGTTAAGGTATGTATTTGATGAGATTAAAAACCTAGGGTATACCTTTTAAATAAACCTAAAACACAAGTTACAAAATAGTAAATATCCCCAATAAGTAAATATGGGATCATGTGAGGAATAAGTCAAATGGAAACGATCAGGAGAAAAAACTAGTTCAACTAAATAAAATCATACGTAGAATATATTCAAACTTCTAAACACCTAATCTAGACTGGAAACAACCTCCCAGACTCCCAATCAGAAAGCATAACTTCACTTCAAGAAACAGACAAATTGCCACAAATTAATTATTTTCCAAACGTTTGCTATATCAATACATTAGACAGTCACAAAATGCCATTAACCAAGAAAGAGAAGAAAAGGGCAGACCCCTTCAGAAGCAAGAAAAAGAAAGGCAGAAAACAAAAATAGGGGAAAGAAAATGAACCTGAGCACGAACAAAACCGCAAAGAGCAAAGGTGGAGAACTGGCCAGTGTAGATGCCGTTCTCATCCAAATGCCCGGCGTTAATCTGGACTGAGGCATGATCCTTCGAAGTGATGAGCCTGTTGGTTGCCGAGCTGCACCCACAAACAACAATTAGCCACAATGCCTAATTTCAAAAACTTATGTATTTCACTTAAAACCCGTTTAGTTGGAGGATTCGTCATCTGATTCGAATCATGGTTCATGGTTCGCTACAGTATTTTCTCTCACAAAAAATACACGTAAATCAAAAATAGTTCTAATCTCATGATTCTAATCCATGAACCAAACGGGCTTTTAGTTTATATTATGTGCTATTTCATTATAATGTCGTCAACGTACAATACAATACAGTATAAATTTTTAAGAAAGAACAATAATGAGTACCATTTCCTAGGAATGTAAAGCTCAGTAATAACTCCCTCTTCGTTCTGCATATTGGTGTGTGAATGAATCAACCACTTCAAGAATATGTGGGACCTATTCAAACCAACAAAAATAGCATGATAAGGAAAATCAATGCACATATAGAAGGAAAGGAATTATAAACAAAAAGTCTCAATAAAGAGAAAGTACCAAAAGTATCAAAAAAACAAAACAAAAAACAAAACAAAAAAAACAAAACAAAAGCTACCAGATGGCTAAAAATATAGGAACACGGTTTTTCTCTAAATTTTTAACCATTACATCATATCAGCGTAACAATAAAATTGAACAAAATGAAGATTTGGCAGCTAAAAACTGTGTCCAAATACCAATCACTGTGGCATTTTGTTTATACCCTACCATAAATTCTCCAAGAAAATAATTGTAAGATATTCTAACACTAAGAGTACCAATCTGACCCACCAGAATGAAGAGTTTGAACAGAAAATACTCTAAAATAGCTCGGGAATAGGCCGATAAGTCCTCGCCTGTTTAAAATCCTAATTTAATAATAAAACACTACATAGATAAACATCCTAATGCTAATAATAAAGAGGCTCCTTTTACTATAAAACCTCCTAACGATAGTGCTTATTTCTAACCATTAGATCTTATCAAAATCACATAAAAAGATAGTTTTTACTCAAGATTTAACGGTTAAAAATAGAAAATTACCGGCAATTTATTTTTTCAAGACTTACCGTAGAAATATCCTAAGAAATAATGAATAATCCTGACCAAACTCAAACCAAATATAGTTAACGACCAAATAAAAGTAGAAATCCTAATTCCTAATAAAACACAAATTCTCTAATTTTTACGTCCTACATCACAATCACCCAACAATGGAAGCAACATCAGAAATTAACAAAATCGTTTCCAAATTAAACCCAACTTAAAAATATACAAAAAAGGACCAAAACTAACACAATAATGAACAAAAAGAGCAACCAGATAGTTAAAAATTAATCGCTCAAATTCTACATCACAGTAACGAACAAGCTATAACACTTTTAAAACCTGGAATCGTAAAAAACCCAAAACATAAAACAAATTTTAAAGGTGGAATCTTAAAAAATAAAAATAAAAAAATTACCAGACATCACAGGATTGAAACAACTGTTATGGATTATCAGACGAGAAGAAAATGCTCAAAAGAAAAAAAAATTAACAACCTAAAAAATAAAGCAACATTAGACGGAAATTGGATATACGAAATACCTGGAGCAAGAGGAAGAATCCTCTGTGATTCGATGTGCTCAGGCGCAGGGTAATTTTAGATCGTCAGCCAATCAGGGTTCCAGTCGTTACAACTAGTTGGACCCGTGCAGACACGTGAGGGTCCAGTTGTAAATGTCAATATAAGGGTAGGTTTTCTTAGAGATGCAACAATGGCCGGGCCCGTAGGCCGGCCCAAATCCATCTTGATACAGTGACGGGCTGGGCTGATATAGTCCGTCACTATTTAAGGCATGGTCCAGCCCATAAATATTAGTGGGATGGGCTATGCCAATATATATCGACCCATGGGCCGGCCCGACATGGCCCATGAAAAATCATGAGCCATGTTGGGTTGGGTCAGCCGTCTAGGCTCATAATGAGCCGGCCCGTGTAAGGCCCATATAGGCTCACAATGGAGGAAACCAACAAGTTCAAGATGATTGGGCTGATGACTTTGAAAATTTAGACATTTTTGATACTCCTACTAGGAGTAATACGTTGTAATCATGAACAATATTTATTTTTTATGTTTTTTTTTCTTTTTTTAAGTAATTTTTTAAACGACTTATGTATAATTATCTTAATTATACTCTTTTTTCTTTACTAAGATTTTATCCCACTGGGTTTTCCTTAGAAAGGTTTTTAATGATGCAATCGTAAATAAAATATCCATTTTCATATTTACATTGACTATTCAAATTTTTATATTTGTTAACTTGTTTAAAAATTTAAAATAAAAATAAAAAAATTGAACATTGCATGCCTAGATGGAATAGCTCATCTAAACTTATGATTGGTCTTGAATGGGTCAGCTCATTCAAGGCCCATGGCACGATCTATCCTGGCTCACGACACGACCCAATCTAGCACACGTAAAATTGGCCCGTGGTGTAGGCTGAGCCAAGGTAATTCTTATACGGGTCGGCCCGACTCAGCCCACGGCCTAAGGATAACGGGTCAGGCCAGGCTGGCTTGTTCTTGCATCTCTAGGTTTTCTTTGGATATTGAAATTACACAAAATACCTACTTTCAAATCCTTTAATCTATAAAAACCCACTTATTTTCAATATTACAGAAATGTCTACTTCTAAATAATAAGACACATGTAATGTCACATATACGCATATTCGTTATTTTAAGCATGTTCTTTATATGGTGATATTTTCATGATTTTGGGCTGATTTTTTTTTATTATAGTAGTTTTTATCGATTCATTTAAAACCATTGTCAAATTATTTTTGAAAAAAAAAAAGAAGAGGAAGAAAAAAAAAGGACGTAAAAGAAATAAAAATATGAAGCAAAAGATAAGAAAAGAAGATTTTAAGTTATTTTATTGTGTTTAGATCAATTCCATTTGATTTTGTTTAATTTATTTTTACTTAATTTGGTATGCTTTGATTTTATTTTAGTGTATTTTTGTTATATTTTATATTTTATTAAATCATTTTTAACATTTTTATTTAAACAGTACTAGAAATTTAATATAAAACCGTGTTAAAATAGACAAAATTATACTACAAATAAGCCTAAAATTAATAAGGAAATATAAAACATAATAATAATTAGTAAATAAAACTGATTTTTTTACTGTTGAATAAAAAATATAGACGGATGAGATAATCTTCTTTTATGTCTCTCTCTTTTCTCAAGCGGGTCCCACTCCTTCTCTCTTTCACACGCACTCTCTTTTCTAAGGCGGGCCCACCACTCCCCACTCTCTCTCTCTCTTTCTCTCTTCCCACACAGCTCTCTCTGCAAAAAAGCAGTGCCAAAAGAGAAAGAAAAGCAAAATAATAATAAGAATAATAATAAGCCAACGTTGGCACCCCAAAAACCCATTCTACTTTAGAGGTTGTTTGGTTAGGAGATTCGTTTCCCGATTTAAATCATGATTCATAGTTTAATACAGTATTTTTTTTCATAAAAAATACACATAAATTAAAAATGGTTATAATCACATAGTTCTAATTCATGAACCAAATGTCTGCTTAGTAATTTAGTATAGATATTTTTAGCCCGTTTAGTAATATTTTTAAAATAATTTTATTTTTAATACAAAAGTGAAAATAAAATTATTTTGAAAATCATTCTAAAACTAATTCTGAAATTGCGTTTGGTTGGTCTTTTAAGAGATCGTTTTGAGTATAATAAAGAAATAAAATCGTGTTTGGTTATATTTATGAAATTTTGTTTCAAGTACATACAATTAATAATATTAAATTAATGTATTAAATAATTAATAATTGATAATCACTTAGCAAATAAAAATTAATTGAATAATAATAGATATATTATAATTAATGAGTACATTAATAATTAAACTATGCTAAATAATTAAAAAAATTAGTAATTAATAATTAGTTATAAGTAATTAAAGAAAAAATAATTAGTATATAAATAAAATATTAATATTTTATTTACTATTTAAATAATTAACTTTTAGTTACATAATTAAATAATTAATTAATTAGTTACTTGTTGGGAATAGTATCTTAGAAGCATGAGATGTAATAGGATATTTATTATTTATTTAATAAAAGAGTTTATTCATTATTTTATGTGCATATATTTATGAATATCAATGAAAATTCCATGATTATTTATGTGACATTAAACATTACATATAAGTGTTATATATGAGAGGATAATGTTTTAGGATAATAATCGAAACGATGTTCGTAATAAATTTAATTAAAGTTCATAATCTTTAATTAAAACATTATTAATACATGTCATTCCCATTTAGAATGGAACGGTGTTATCCGCACTGTTAATATGACGATGTATTGAATGAGTGTATTTCGCATAATGAGATTATGTGGAACAGGGACACAGACACGATATGAATTTCTGATAATTTCTGTTAAGTATAGAAATTTTAATTGAGTGTACCGATGGTCATATATAGAATGATCTTAATCATGAGTTCTTAATAGACTCCTATTTATGTATTTGTGTCTTTTGATTTACTCGGTACAGATTCTGAGATTCTGAATCCTATTCCTTGTATTTTGGAGACATGATGAAGTAGGTAGCCGGGAATGTTATTATACGAGATGGAATTCATGAATTTGTTTTATGAATCACTGTTCATTAGAGAATCAATGGTACTCAAGGATAAAGATGTAATTAGAGAGGTTAACGGATTTTACCAAACTCTAATTATGAATTATTTATCGATGATTGATCTATATGCAGTGACTACATCACATGGACACTTCACGGTTTAGAAGTAATTTATATCTATAATTATGAGAGTGCAATTCCAAGTTTATAGTGTAGTAACTATTGGAATTAATAAGATTAATTAATTAATTAAAGTGTTTAATTAATTATTAATTTTATTATAGCTCGAAATTATAGGTCCATGAGTCCCCGCATCATCCTTATAATTCTATAAGACACTAAGGGCAAAATGAGAATTTTAGAATTATAGAATTCTAAAATTAAACACTCAAGGATAATTAATTGAGAATTTTTAATTCGAGTTGAGATGTGATTTTATGTGAGAATTTTTTACTGTAATAAAAAAATTAAATGTGATTATTTGTAAAAACTTTTTATTGTAAAAAACTTCAAATTCTAAACTCAAATAAACGAAATGAACAGAACCTTAAAATCAAAAGTACCATGTGCGTTGCTTCTCAAGAAGCTATAAAAACAGCTTAAAATTGTTGAAGAAGCACTTTAGTTTACTTCTTACCAAACGTCAAAAACAGCTTAAGTTGGACAAAAAAGTGCTTTTAGGGGTCCTTTCTCGAAATCTATGGGATCGATTGAACAGAGGCCATATGGGCCAAAATTGCACGGGTGCATGGGATTTCCCCCTTGATCTGCTTGCCACCTGGAATCCATGTTGATGAGGACTCCAAATTGAGGTTGCCGACCGACCTTTCACCTCCATGACCGTTGCACCCTTCGTTGAAATTGGAAGACTTAATAGTTGTTGAAAATCTCCACTGAATCCGTTCATCCTGATTCTTCCTCCTGAACGTTTGCCTCGCTCCACGAAATTAACGCCGTTCTCTTCAATTTCATGAACTTCCTTGTCTCGGTTGGCAGGTTTGGCATATTCTTCAATACTTCCAAACATCAAACCTCATGTTCTGCCGACCGATTGAAGCTGGATGTTGTCCAGGTTGAAAAGACCTAGATGAATCCTTTCACCTTGACATGGGACCTCCAGAATAGGCGACATATTTTGCTATAATCCTAAGTGGTCATGTTTTTCCTTTCAAGAAAGAAATTGGTTATGTTTTTGTGTTGTTGTTTCTTTTCAAAAAGAAAAAGAAAGTTAGAGTTTAAAATGCCTGCAAATAATCAAAACAAGTTATTGAAGGAATACTATATATGAAATCCGTTTTCATTTTCCCCCTTTCATTTTCTCTCTTCGTTCTTCACTCTCTTCTCCGACTGCCCTCTTCTCTCCCCATCTCATTCTCTCTCCCCCTCTCTCTCTCCTCAACCTCGTTTCTCTCTCTATCTGTCGCCTCTTCCTCTTCTCTCTCCTCTCTCTGTGTTCGCGACTGGTTGCACTCAGCTGTAATTTTCTGGTTTTAGATGGGGAAAAAATGAACGAGTCGCAGCCCTGACGAGCCCCACCCCCGCGCGACTCATCTCCGGCGAGCCCAGATCTGCAGCCACCGATCCCACCCGTGCGACGCACCTCCTGAACTCAGAATTTGATTTTGAGATATTAATCTGTTTGGTTTCATTGAATAACTAGAAATGTTTGGTTTTGATATGTGATTTTAATTTTAATTTTGGTAGATCTGGGTTTTTGATGAAGGGGAAGAAGCTGTTTGATTATTGTGATAGATCGATTTGTTTGGTTATTGGTTTTAAGTTTTTTTTCAATTGTTTGGTTATTGATGGAATACTATATTTCTTTAGTGCTATATAAAAAAATTCAGCGTCATATTATTTTATTTCTTTAAACACAGGAAAGAGGATAAAGACTAAGGCGTCGCTTCTACATTCCTGTTCGTACTTGAGTGTGGCTGGGTGACCTGCAGGGCTATATAAACGTTCAATTATATTGGTCTCTAATGTACAAATTAAGGTCATATAAACCGTCTGGTATCAATTTTCTTAGAGACCTGGCAAGTTGAGCTAAGATCTTGGGGAAAAGCGGTGGGTTGAACTTCATTTTCAGGGTCAATGGGTGAGCAGAAGGAAAGAAGGCACAGAATCCTGATGGTCTCTGATTTTTTCTACCCCAACTTTGGTGGTGTTGAGAATCACATTTACTATCTCTCTCAATGCCTTCTGAAGCTTGGTCATAAGGTAATTAAAAGAGTACAGTCATGTTATCAGATTTCTACGTTTTTACATCTACATATTGTATATATGCATTTGTTCTTATTGGAGAAAGAAACTTTTGGATTTGTAACTGTATGAGTTTTGTTTTAATGTATGCGTTTTCCTGTTGTTTGTTTATTTTTTTCCCTAATATGTATTGTTTTTTCTTGAGGACATCAGGACATCCTGTCCTCTTTTCTCTTGTAATTGATTTTTATTGTCAATGAAGGGATGTTTCTTGTGGATAAAAAGAGTTTCTAATTTTTCTATCCACTTTAACTTGATTTCCACAAACCAAATGGATACAATATTTTGCCATCCGCCTTGTAATGAGTGCATAATTAACCCTTTCCAGTTGATAGCTATTAAATTTCTTAGAACCTTGTAGGTGGTGGTAGTGACTCATGCTTATGGAAACCGATCCGGGGTGAGATATATGACAGGAGGGCTGAAAGTTTACTATTTACCATGGAAGCCCTTTCTTATGCAGAATACATTACCAACCTTCTATGGAACACTTCCAATTATAAGGACTATCCTTATCCGAGAAAAAATATCATTGGTGCATGGGCATCAGGCCTTCTCAACACTTTGTCATGAAGCTTTGATGCACGCACGTACAATGGGGTATAAGGTTGTGTTTACTGATCATTCACTCTATGGTTTTGCTGATGTGGGTAGCATCCACATGAACAAAGTATTGCAGTTCACTCTCTCGGATGTAAATCAAACTATTTGTGTTTCTCATACGAGCAAGGAAAACACTGTTCTACGGTCTGGTTTGCCGCCGGAAAAGGTCTTTGTGATACCTAATGCTGTTGACACAGCTATGTTCAAGCCTGCTGCAAAGAGACCTAGAGGTAATGAAATTGTTATCGTTGTTATAAGTAGACTGGTCTACAGAAAGGGCGCAGATCTGCTTGTTGAAGTCATCCCAGAAGTTTGTCGTCTATATCCTTATGTGAGTGTTTTGTGCACCATTTTTCATACTGTCATTCATGATTTATTGGCCTTATACTGGCTTCTGTAGTCTTAATTTAACATAAGTATCTTTTCTGTATCCTTGTGTTATTTTGTTTTGGTTTGAGGATTTCTCATCCTCTCTTCCTTGTAATTGATTCACCATCAATGACAAGGCTTTTGCTTATAAAAAAAAATATATATATATATATATCCTTGTGTTATTTATTGTTATATATATATATATATATAGTCAATTGATGTCAATAGTTGGTAACGAACCCAAGGATGTTATAGTATTTTTGTCAATTTAAGCAAGTTACTTTTCCACAAAATTGTTTTAACAATTGATTGAGATCGATTAGAAAGCTCTATACCAATTTGATAAAATAGCTCCTAATGATCATGTTGAAAATGCCAAGTATCATAAGCTAGTGAATAGCATTACTTATTCTTATACCTTATCTCCTTGTAGTTGCAGCATTCTGTGTCTGTATATCCAGTTTTACTTCTATGTCTTATTTGTTCAGTTGAAACATAATGTTGTTAAATGAGATTGTGGTAATTATCATCTCATTCAGAAATCTGTGATAAGGTTCGTTTTATAATTGGAGGAGATGGACCTAAACGTGTGCGGTTGGAAGAGATGAGGGAAAAGCATTTCCTTCAAGATCGAGTTGAAATGTTGGGTGCTGTTCCACATGCTCAAGTGCGGTCAGTCCTTATTTCTGGCCATATTTTTTTAAACAGGTACTTTGTTGTAGAATGTCTTTCAAGTTTGTTTGAAACTTCAAACAAAAAGGTCACCTTTGTTGTAACTTTATCTAATATGGTTTAACCCTACTGGTAGTTCTTTGACAGAGGCCTTTTGCATAGCTATATTGGAAGCTGCTAGTTGTGGATTATTAACTGTCAGTACACGTGTAGGAGGTGTTCCAGAGGTATGTATAGCTAGAAATCTCTCCTCTAACTGTTTGTCAATTTTATATTTAGTCCATTGCTTGATCACATCAAGTAGTGGCATGCCCCGGATTTCTATATATTCATTTTAACTCGGGTAATGTGTGGCTGGCTGTAGGTTCTGCCCGATGACATTATTGTACTTGCAAAACCAGATCCTAGTCATATGGTTCAAGCAATCAAAAAGGCAATATCTATACTTCCTATGATTGATCCACAAGTGATGCACAACCGTGTATGTATATTCTTCTAAATATATCATTTTTGTGAAAATTGACTCCTTGAAAAGTGCTCAAGTGTTATCTTTTTTGCTTCCATGACTACTTTTAGATGAAGGAACTCTACGATTGGCATGATGTTGCCAAAAGGACCGAGATCGTGTACGACTGTGCTTTGAATTGTGCAAATCAAAGTCTTCTGCAAAGACTCTCCCGGTATGCTATTGAAGTTAATAACTATCTCAGTATACGCTGAAATACATGGTTGTTGTGGCATCCTTCTTGCAAAATTGATCAGTTGTCTATAAAGTAGGAATCATTTTTCATTCTAACCTTTCTTGCCACTGGTATAATTGGGTTCTAAACTTGGACTACAGCAGCTATGAAAATAGTGGAGAGGTGATTGCTTTGTTTATTCAAAATCTGGAAGCTATATCTTCTTCCCATGTCATTTTTTTTTCTTCATAGTTGTGGAGAACCATAATTGGAACCTCCGTGTGTCGTTCGCTTAATAAATATCTTGGCAATTCGGCAGCCCCTTAATTTTCTTGGTTTTCACTGTGAGTTTTTCTGGGTTGAATGTCATATTTTTTGGTTGTGAATTTCAACTCGTTTCCATTTTCAATCAAACATTGTGTCGCTTAGTTTCCTGAGCTATTGAATCGATTATTGCTGTAGAGATTACTAAGTTTTAGAGGATGTGGAGACACGTCAAGTATTTCTGATTGCATAATTTCTTTCTCAGGTATCTTTCATGCGGAGCATGGGCAGGCAAGCTTTTTTGCTTTGTCATGATTATTGATTTATTGTTATGGCATCTACTGCAATTATGGCAGGTGAGTTTAGTGCTTCTATATACCCACTTTAGCTTTCTAGTTTCTACTGTCTTGTCATTCCTTGAGCAATCTCTCGTTCCTTTTTCATTAGCCAGCAGAGGATATAGAGGAGGTGCCCGATTTTACTCTACCATGTGATGAAGGCTGAGTACAAGGGCTTGAGACGATTGATTTTCATATTCGAATTACTTCTGATATATAAATTCACAAACTAGTGTTGATATAATGAAATCAAAGGTTTTACAGTGAATTTTATTCTCAACGCATCTCAACAAATAGTCAATACATGGAAGATGAATGTCGTGCAGCTTGTACCGTTGTTTGTTTGAAAATATACAGACTAGTTCATTTACAAGTTTGCTTTTAGAAAAAGAAAATGTTTATTATAAGTGTGCCAAATTTGGCAACAAAAGATTGTGGATTGTCGGAGATCATTCATAAGTTGTTTTTGGCAGGACAATTGGTTGGGGTACTCCGTTTGCTAATACGTTGGGATCCTTACTGGTAATGCTTGTAATTATTTCTGACATTAATGGAAAGGAGATGCTTGTGTGGAGAAGATTTGGCTTAGAAATATTCCTTCTAAATGATCGCTCTTGTTTTGGAAGCTACTTCACACACACATAGCATAGTGCCTTTAAAAAAGTTGTTTTTCCTTGTGTCATCCGCATAGCTTAGCCTTTGAGGTTGTGCTTACGGGAAACATTTTTGGTCATTCATTCGAGTATTGTGCCTAACATGGCATTATGGCGGACTGGTAACTGTTACGTGACGAGATAACTAGTAACTACCTTATCCTTCAACGTCAGTTTGTCAGAAAGAGTGATGGAAGAAACTATGGAACCTCAAAAATTCCTAGGACTCTTCTACGTTTGATTGGAGAGCATGTGATGATGTTTATTTCCACGGGTATTGCATTCTATGGAAGGAAAATTGTAACGACCCTCTTCTACTCACTCTTGGGAAGTTTCAACACCAGGATTTTGGTCACCAATGCCCCTGTACTTTCTGTATTTAACAAGTTGGCCTTGCATTTTTAAGTTTGTCAATTCCCTTCTAAATATACAAATCTTTGACAATCTCTCTAATTGAAAACATCATATGCCCGCTTTTAAAAGAGCATGGCTAGAAGTTAACAAAAAAAAAGTAATGTTAAGGATACCAACTCTAATGTTATGTACATGACATAGAGTTATTATTTTATTTATAAATGTAATATCTTATCATTAATTAACGTGATAATATTTTAAATATTCATCAATATAAAAATGACAACGCACATATCATATTAGTTGGCATATAAAGTTTGTGTCCCTAACATTAAAAGTAATGTTAAGGATACCAACTCTAATTTTATGTACTAATTGATATGACATAGAGTTATTATTTTATTTGTAAATGTAATATCTTATCATTAATTAACGTGATAATGTTTTAAATATTCATCAATATAAAAATAATAACGCACATATCATATTAGTTGGCATATAAAGTTTGTGTCCCTAACATTATTCTAATAAAAATATTATCATTTCTTAGCCGGAAAAAAAAACGTTGTCAAGTGCTATTATCATTATTCTAAAAAAACATTATTCTAATTGAAATTCTAGTAAGTGTTGTGTTATTTTTAGTTATTTAAGTAATAATAATGTTTACAAAGGAGGGTGTTACACACTCTCTTTCTCCTCCGAGCACTTTCCTTATCTCTCATGGTGATTGCGGTTGTTGAGAACCAGGTTGCCGCCGTGGACTAAACTCTGACGAGAGGCCGTCGCAAACCAGATCCATGAGCTGCGAAGACTAGAGAACGCTGCACAACACCGGGACGAATCTTGGCCAACATCGATCGTCGTTGGAGATCGCAATTTTCTTTTTTGCGGTCGCCTCTGACCACCGTTCACGAGCAACAGAGATCGCCGTTCGGTGAGCATACATCCCTCAGGAGCCCCGTCGTCAGCATCATAGGTGCTCGCGTGGAGAAGATTGTATGAAATCTCGTTCTCATCGCTGAGATCGCACCGTCGCCATAGAACATCGAGTTTTACAAACAGATCCGACTAGATTGGACGGTGACGTGCCGGAACACGGCTGCCTAGTTGGATCTGAGCAAGAACCGCGTGCGAATTAGATCCGAATCTGCGACACTGCAATAGAGCCGGAGAAGATTGATGAAGCGAAGCCACCTTCACAAAGGTTGCCATATCTATGGTTGCCCATGTGTTTTTGAACTTTTTTGTGCAGGTTTATGGATTTTGGGCGGTGATAGTAGGAGATTGTGAGTCTCCGTTTTGTTGAGTTTGTTTTTTTTTTTTTTTTGAATGATGTAGTTCAATTTTTAGTTCGAAGGTTTGATCCTTTTTTCTTAAGAAATGATGTTCAGTTTTGTGATTTGAAGTTTTTTTTTTTATGAGAAATATGATATTTATAGTAAATATAGTATTTACTTAAAAATATAGTGTTTAACGGTATTTTGGAGTTGGTATTTTGGAGTTAGTAGTCGAATTTTTAGATAAATATGTATGTATGAGTAAATACGATATTTACCTATAAATACAGTATTTACCGATAATCGAAATTGGTCGTCTAATTTTTTGATAAGTATGTAAATATGATATTTACAAGTAAATAAAATATTTATCGGTAAATACGGTAATTATCAGTCGCTAGAGATGGTTGTCAAATTTTCAAATAAATATGGTAAATGTGATATTTACAAGTAAATATTATATCTACCGATAAATACGGTATTTATCAGTCACCGGAGTCGGTCACTAAATTTTTAAATAAATATGTTAAATATGATATTTACTAGTAAATACAGTATTTACTAGTAAATACGGTATTTATTAGTAAATATGGTATTTACCAGTCTTTGAAGATGTGACGACGGTGGTTTATTACAAAACATGTTCAAAAGCAGTTTTTAGACTGAATAAGTTAAAAGTAATTTTTTTTTATACAACTCCGAATTAAACCTGCAATTCCCCACCTAAACTCCACCCCACCTAAACCCCCTAGTGTCACTAGACCAAGAGGCTTGACAATAATAGTGCATATCATTTTATTTTTATCGTTGGATTAAAATTATACTAAAACAAAAAAAAAATGTATAACATAATGTAAGTTTTAATATGATGATATGATGATGGCTGAAAAACGAAAAATTCATCTTTTCAGTCATACTAAAGAAACCTCTTTATTTTTTTTAGAGTCTCTACGGTGAGATTCTTTAAAAAAATTAATTGATGGAACATTCTATTTTAACTGTTGAATTAAGTTTTCAACACAAATTCGTATTAAAAATTTACAATGTGCCGCCTAAAATTAGAACTACTTTCTCTACAAATCGGACCCTCAAGTAGCGATGACATTGTTTATATTTATGGTCTTAATAAAATAATAACAGGTGAATTAGTAGAATTTGAATAATGTAGGATAGGCAGTTGACTGAGAAAAGATAGTCAATGATCTCATGACTAGTTTTAAGATTGATTTGTAATTTGTGATCCTAAGAATTCTTATTTGAGGATCGTTTCTGTTATAGATATTATTTTTTTATTAAGTAATATTATATATATTAATTTAATATTTCTCTCGAGTTGATAAAATTTTTAACTCTTAAATTAAGAGGAGCGTTACAATTTAAAAAACAAAAAAATAATAATCAACAGTCGAAATAAAGTGTTTTATCGGATTTTTTTTAAGGGACGAGAAAGTTTTTTTTTTTTTTTTTTTTTTCTTGAAATATCTTATTTCTTATTCATTCCTCCATTTAATTAAATTAATTTAAGGTAAGACAAGGCAAAGGACGATTTCCCTATCTTTCGTTTCGTTCTCCTTTCCTCTCTCTTCTCCTCTCAAACTCAAACTGAAACTCTCTTTCCAGAGTCTGAAACTCTTCAAACACCATTTTAAGTGCTTTTGTTCCCTGCTACTTCCCAGTGTTAATTACAGCTTGTGGGCATGTAATTTTTTATGGTTCCAAGCATGGAATGTGGTTCTTGTAGCTCCTTATTTGGTGCGGCTATGCCTTTCTTGTGTGGCAAAGCAACGGTTTCGTCTCATAAAATGGCGGTGCCCTTCACAGTTTCTTTCAATTTGCAGTCAGATTCTCTCAGTTTCCTTAATTCTTTGCAGGTATGCATTATTTAACTTCTGGGTTTTTGGTTATTGGTGGAAATAAATGGTTATTTATTTATTTATTTCAAGTATTGTGTTTCTTTGAGAATGAAAATTAAATGAAGCAAAAAAAAAATTTAGTAGAGCTTTATATATACTTTCTTTTTCTTTTTCTTTTTTTGTTAATATGAAAATCTTCCTTTCATTGATAGATGAATCAAGTAGAAAGTAGAGAGGATGAGGGATGCTCAAAAGCAAGGTGACAGAAAATGAGTAGGAAAAGGAAAAACAAGTAAAGAGTTGAACAGGAAAATCCATCCATTTTAAACCAATCAAAGAATAAGGAAAATCCTTGAAAGTTTTGTCCGTTGAAGCAAGCAACAATGCCGAAAATTTTGCATTTGTCAAATGAATTGCTTTGTCTTCAAAGACCTTTGAGTAAAGCTTCACATATACTTGTAACTGATGGTTTCTTTTGTTAGTTACAGTTCTATTTGTTCTTGATTTGTAGATTGTTATTATATCAATGCTTTTTAGCTACTACAGTAAATGATTTATTTTATATTTGAAGTGAAAAAAACTCAACCAACTACTTCGTCTCACCTTAACAACTGAATTTGATTGGATTATCCTTGATGAACTTCCAGTTCACCTGAAATGTAATTGTTTCCGTAGTCATAGATTGTTGTTGTTGTTGTTGCTGCTGCTGCTGCTGTTGTTGTTGTTGTTTTTTTTAACTATTCTTTGAATCCCAACAACAAATCAGCTTCTTATTTTGGTGACTTCTAGCTAGATTGAGCATCCAACTTCCTCTAATTTCTATTATTTGATATGATATTACAACCCCGAGACTCGAAATGAATTCATTCATCCTATAAGTATACTTGTTAAAGATTTTATTGTCATCCTGTGTGTTTTGATTAATCTTGGTGACTGTATTTATTGATGTGCAGCGTTCTAACAATAAACTCAAAGCGCCATTAAAGTCATCTCGGAAGATGCTATCATCAAATGCATTGATTATCACTGGCGAACACCCTCAGAATACTGATTTGCCTCGGTACTATTCCAGAAAGGAGAAGAAACCCTTTCCAATTCCGATAGTGGAGATGAGGCGTGCTGCAAGGGAGAGGGTCAAGAAGAACAGAGGCCAGCCTAGAAAGCCTGTTCCACCTCCCAAGAATGGCCTGGTTGTGAAGAGTTTGATACCACTTGCCTATGATGTGTATAATGCAAGAATAACATTGATCAACAATCTCAAGAAGCTCTTAAAGGTGGTACCTGTGCATGCTTGCAGGTAAATATTCTTCTGCAAATTTCTACATAACATAAATGGCTTGAGAGTTGTCCAGTATCTCGAACACGGTTGCCTTTGGCTTTCACAATTTTTGCCTCTGCTTTTGATTACTTTGCTTTAAAAAAAAAAAAAAGAAAAGAAAAGCCAACCTAGCTTTATCTAAGATTGTTACTATACCATGTAATCATTCTCTCATGGTCACTAGAGTTGAAGCACTGGTTATCCCAAGTGATAAAAAAGGATTTGCTTGTGTGGCTGTTGAAGCTTCTTGTATAAAATGATTTTGATATGTAAATGCATGACTTCATGTATAAGATGTCTCCATTTTCATAATAGTTAACACAATAATCTTATACCTGCTAGGTTTACTGGTGACAAGAGGTTGTTGCTAATTACTTATATTGAAACAAGAAACCGTATAATAAGGATAGGATTTTTTTGTACGAAATTCAGGAGGAAGAGTTACCCTCAAGAGAAAAAACAGAAAATAAGCTACAAAAAAGGGGCCCAGCTCCTGATTACAGAGTTTGTTGCTAATTTCAGACTGAGGACTCCATCAGTGATGGCATAATTGCAGTATGCTTCCTCAGAGTGAAAACTATGAGAACCTGTTCTTTATAGAAATCCATTAATCGTGTAGGAAGCCAATTGATGAGGTGGATTTGATGATTAGTATTCTAATTTCATCAGATGTTCTGTTTGAGCTTTTATACCGATTGAGATTGTTTTTGTTCGTTATGCAATACTTTCTTTCACAGAAGTTCCTTGAATGCGTTGGTCTATGATTCATGCTTCGTATGCAGGTGGTGTAACGAAATACATGTGGGGCCAACTGGACATCCATTCAGGTCGTGTAGAGGCCAAAATGCTAGTATCCGAAAGGGCATCCATGACTGGGCAACTGCGACCGTGGACGACATATTTCTGCCTATTGAAGCTTACCACCTCTATGACCGGCTTGGAAAGCGTATTCCCCATGCACAGAGATTCTCAATTCCCCGGATCCCAGCAGTAGTCGAGCTCTGCATTCAAGCTGGGGTCGATATCCCTGATTTTCCAGCTAAAAGGAGAAGGAAACCGATCATCAGGATCGGCAAGAGCGAATTTGTTGATGCAGATGAAAGTGAACTACCAGATCCCGACCCCAATGCTCCCAAGAGACCAGTGTTAACTGAAATACCTGGTTTTGAAATAGTAGGCCCATCCAGTGAAGAAGAAACAACCTTGCTCGCCAAGGAAACACTCCAAGCATGGGAACAGATGAGAAAAGGAGCCCAAAGGCTAATGAAGCTTTATCCGGTGAGAGTTTGTGGGTATTGTCCTGAGGTGCACGTGGGTCCCAGTGGCCACAAGGCGCAAAACTGTGGAGCCCATAAGCACCAACAGCGAAACGGGCAGCACGGTTGGCAGGCTGCGGTGCTGGATGACTTGATAGCCCCGAGATATGTGTGGCATGTTCCTGATGTCAATGGACTGACATTGGAAAGGGAGCTCCGGAACTTCTATGGCCAAGCTCCTGCTGTTGTTGAAATGTGCATTCAGGCTGGTGCAGCTGTTCCTGATCAGTACAAAGGAACCATGAGATTGGATGTGGGAATCCCCAAAGATCTCAAAGAAGCTGAAATGGTAGTTTGAGAATCATTCATATCCTACACACCCTGCGAGATCCTGAAAATTTCTTATAGCAATATCATATTTGTCCATATATCTGTGCTTCAAAATTGCAAAATGTAAATGCTAATTGAAATTGAAGAGTAATTGATCAATTAAATGTTGCACAATCATAATGAAGGCAGTAGGATAAAATGCTTCTTTTTCAAAACTTTTCTACTTGTTAATGATAATATTTCGTCTCTGGCCGCCGCAAACTCGATGCATATTTTAATAATTTTGACTAGACTATTTCCAGCCTGGTCCATCTTGTACAAGTAATTTTCTGAATAAATTTCAAGAGATCTGTAGTTCATTTAAGCCGCGCGTTTTAAGTCAGACAAGGCTTATAAGTGGGTAAAATGGTAGTGTTCCAAAAATAGTATTTAATCTCAGAAATTATGCATCGTCTTATTTAAATCCTACGGTTACAACAAACCTTAAATCTTATGATGGCATTGTAACACCTGAAGAATTAATTGAGATTAATTAAGGTAATTGAGATTATTAGTGTGCCTAATCTGATTTAAGTAATTGAGTTTAAATAATTCTAAGGTATTTAAATTATTCACAGTAATTTATTTAATCCAGAAGTGTGTATGGGCGCATTTATGGACTGTTATATTTTACACATGTCACTTTCTTTTATTTTTCTTTTCTTTTCTTTTCTTTTTCTTTTTCCTTTCTTTTCCTTCCTTTTCTTTTTCTTTCCCGTGCGTTCCTCTCTCTCTTTCTCTCTCTCTCTCACACTTCCGTGCTCTCTCTCTCCCTCTCTCTCTCTCCCATTTGTGTCTCAAATCAAAACCGGATTCGAACCAAGAGTGATTTCAAAGAGTTTTCAACGTCAAGAGAAGGATTCGAGGTAAGATTACTGAAAGAACCTCTCTTGAATCTATGTTTTTCGAATTTCAAAACTTATTTTTGGTTCAAAACGGATTTTGATGATTTTGAGTAAAACTAGAGTAGAAATTGGAGATCTTGGGTTCTTTGGACTTGTTTTAGGACCTAGAACCCGGATCTAGTGGTTTCCCTTTGAAATATTTAGATTTAGAACTGGATTTGCAGGTTTTTTGAACTGATTTCCGCGAGTTTTCGCGAATTGGCATTCTCCACCGGTCGACCGCATCGGTCGACCGGATCTTGCTATGGCCACCGGCCGACCGGTCCGGTCGACCGGATGCACACCACCGGCCGACTGGTGGTGATGCACTTCTCTGTCACCAGTCGACCGGTGTACACGGGGTTTTACCCTGTTTGGCCTGAAATTGTTGTTTTGACCCCTGTTTTCGGGAAAAACCCAAATTAGCTTCATTTGGGGACTTGGGATAAAAGGATTAGCATCCTTAATCCTTGTTTGAGATTGAAAACCCTTGGAATTGATTATTGAAACATGAAATTTGATTAGGGCACACTAATAGGAAATCTTGGTATATGATTGAGATTGGATTACTTTAGGACTGAGAATTGATCCTAAAGTGTCGTTTTGTATCAGTGCTCGCTGTGGATTCAGACTGAAGGGGCTTGAGGAAGCGGAAGCCGGAAAAGGGCAACGCTAGTCCCAGGTTTGATTGTGCGAGGTAGGATTTCTATCCCTTTTCCTTGTGAGCCTGTTTTCAAAAAGAATTTTGGCCTTGAAAATGTTTTAAAGAAAGGGATTGATTTGTGAAAGAAAATGCTTTGAAAACCATGGCTTGTTTAGTCATGGAACCTCATGGCTTGTCCAGTCATGGGGCCCGCGGCTTGAGTAGTTCGTGGGGTCGTATTAACGATTTCAAAATGTTTAATAAATGATTTCTTAAGCGAAGAGATCTTGTGAACTGGTAATAGAGTCTATTGCTGTAAGCCTAGATAGGATGCGGAGAGTGCATCCTCGGGGGCAGAACCCGAAACCGGTCCGGTAGGCGAGGCACTTGGTTAGGTAAGTAATTTGTACTAATTACTTGCTGAAGCCTGTAATATGGTTATTTGCAGTTATATTTCCTTTGAGAAAAAGGATGTGAGGTTCCGGCTGTTCTGTCGGGACTGAATGTCTTATTTTATTTATGTATTCAATTATTCATTCATGCGCTCATTTATTTTAAATATTTCAAATTATATCCTACTAGGCCTTTCGCTCACGTTTTATATTTTAAATGTCAAACCCCTCCCAGGAGACTCGAGGAGCGGTGCAGGGTAGCTGGAGTTGCTACTGTTGAATCAAGTGAGGATCGTGAACATCCTCTTAGACAAATGTAAGGAATTTGAGAATTCTGTAAACTTATGTAATATTTGGATTTACTAGATTGTGGTTGATGTCTGTTGTAATGATTAATTACATGAGCATGTATGTACGATACTGTATGTCCTGTGGGGTGGAGCCCTGTGTGTCAGAGGCTCCGGGATTCTGTAATTCATTTATATTTTAATGCAGTTAAGTGTGGGGCCCGGTCTGGGAATCTGCTTTATTAATCCCTAATCGAGCTCCACGTCACCCACCCCGTTTGGGGGGCGTGACAGGCATTCAATAACGTTATCAAACCTTATAGTAGGGCGCTCCCTTTTAAACTCTACCATAAACTTCTGTTTGAAGGCAAATTCAAATAGACTCTTTCAACTTTGGATTAACTTGATATATGGGGTAGATTAGCTTAATCTCCCAAATGGTCTTTGAATTTTACTCTCAATCTAACTTTGATCCTTGATTTTTGAAAACGTCGCCTCAAAATTAGCCCTACTTAATCAATTTGTTGTCGGATGTTAAAAAGAGGACGAAATGCATATGATGCTTTGTTAGCATAAGATTATTTTATTATGTGTTTATTTCGTTTCTAGTCAGTAGAGTCTTATTTTCTATCTGCATCATGTGCATATTTTGTCCTTTGTTTAACGCACAACTAACAAAAAAGCTAAAATTAATACAAAATGATATACTTAAAATGCTCAATTTTGAATGTTTCAAATTTAGAGATCAAAGTATAAGTGTGGATAAAATTGAGGGATTACTAATAAGATTAACCCTTTTATTTATTTATTTTTGCTGATCTCTTTCAACTTTGGATTAACTTGATATATGGGTAGATTAGCTTAATCTCCCAAATGGTCTTTGAATTTTACTCTCAATCTAACTTTGATCCTTGATTTTTGAAAACGTCGTCTCAAAATTAGCCCTACTTAATCAATTTGTTGTCGGATGTTAAAAAGAGGACGAAATGCATATGATGCTTTGTTAGCATAAGATTATTTTATTATGTGTTTATTTCGTTTCTAGTCAGTAGAGTCTTATTTTCTATCTGCATCATGTGCATATTTTGTCCTTTGTTTAACGCACAACTAACAAAAAAGCTAAAATTAATACAAAATGATATACTTAAAATGCTCAATTTTGAATGTTTCAAAATTAGAGATCAAAGTATAAGTGTGGATTTTGAGGGATTACTAATAAGATTAACCCTTTTATTTATTTATTTTTGCTGAGAATAATACCCTTTTATTTATTTATTAACTTTTCCTTTTCATCTTCTCCATTCTTAGTAAGGAATTGTCAATAAAAGGACCCTATAAAAGTGGGTATTTTGAGGTAAATATAAAAACCCATTGCACATACAAAATCTGCATGGACGAATTCCACTCCCCCCAAAAAAAAAAAAAGCAAACCCCTTCCCTTCAA